TGTAATTTTGGAACCATTCCAGTTCCCAAAGTGAAATATAATTGCTCTATTAACATCTCTCAATACTACAACTACTGTACATACATTTAATTTTACTGTTATGCTCAACTGATCAACAGGAGTAAGACACATTAAGAGGTAATCTCACTCCGTCAGGCTGGTTACACTTATTGCACACAACATTCTCCCTTTACATCACTGCAATTGCGTGCGTGCGTGTGTGTGTGTGGTGGGGCGGGGTAGAGGTGAAACTCAATCAGCTGGGTGTAGAGTGATTTTGATGTACTTCGTGGCATTCTGACATTGTGTGTTAGCCTGGCTCAGTTGGTAGCACTCTTGCCTCGCGAGTCAGGCGGTTCTGGGTTCAACAACAACAAAATTACGTTTGTATAAGCTCCTTTCACTATTTCTTTCACTATTCCTCGCGTCAACTCACACAGTCTCAGTTGACGCTCCAATGCATTGCTTGAGAAGCCGTCCTTCGGATAAGACGTTTAAAACGAGGCCTGTTTAGGTGAACGTTAAAAGATCCCGTGACACCATTCGAAAAGAGAAGGGAGTTTGTCCCAGTGTCCTGGCCAACAATCCCTACAAATAAAATTGGTCATTCGCTTGTTCGTGGGAAGTTGCTGTGCACAAACTGGTTGCAGTGTTCACCCACAAAACACACAGCCACTCCCTCCATTTTGCAGTAGATAACAACAACCCTTGCATTTGATACAGCGCCTTATCACGTCTTCGAGACGTCTCAAAGCGCTTCATGGGATATACTGTAAAGTGAATTGACTGTGTGTTTTGTGGGCGAAACAAATAAATCCTGTGAGGGACTTTGCGACGTCCTCCCAACGTGAAAGGAGCTACATTAAAAACAAGGATGATGATGGTTATTATCAATAAGTAAATTTGCATTGGTAACCAAACCACAGCAGTGAGTGACACACAGGCTGCTGTCGACGTGAAAAATTTCTCTCTTTCTCACCGCAGGTTTGAGAACTGCCGAGCAACAGAGACATCAGTTTCAGTTCAAATCTCACATTGGGTTAGTGAATCCAGGTGAAGCTTTGCAAGGTGCGTTCTCATTTAGGACACAGCCTGCTGGCATCAATCCATTCGTAATTTATCAACCTTCCGAACACCATTTGCTGCAGACATCATTACTCCAGTAGATTTTACACAGACATCATGTCACCGACACATCCTCAGGACAGATTTCACAACAGTGCGGGGGACAGGAGTCCGACAAGAGTATTAATAGGTTTTTGCAACATAAGAATTAACGATCAGTTTTCCATGTTCTTATTTCTTACTGGGTTGCGGGGGAGGGGGGAGGAAAGAGGAGATGACAGAAGAGTACCACATGTTGGTTCGCTCTGTAAGGGCTTTATTACCAGAAACATCTAACCATGGCATTTGCATTTCATTACAAGCAGAAGACCAAGCTAGCACGCATTTAAACGCAGACCGATTTGCATTGATCTTATTTCAAGGACGAATGAAGAGAAGCACATGCAGATCACCACCAACAACTTTCATTTATATGTTGCCCCTTTGTTACTTCACAGTTTTCTGTAAAGTGTAGTGATTGTATTAACGCACCAGCCAATTTGCGCACAGCAATGTCTCAACAAACAGCCAGGAAGTGATTGACCACTTTTTAATAATTAATAATAATCCCTGCATTTGATACAGCACCTTTCACATCACACGGACATCTCAAAGCACATCACAGGATATGCTGCAAAATGCAGTGATTGTGTATTTGTAGGTGAATACAGCAGCATATTTCGTCCCACAAAGAGGAACAAAGTGAATAACCAATTTTATTTGGGAGGAGTGGGGTGTGTGTGGGGGGGGGGTGCGGGGGGTGCATATAGCGTCCCCTCACACAGGGTAGCGTCCCAGAACGCTTGATAGTGGCGGAGCACGACTCCCGAGCCGGGGCAATAATACGGCCAGTCGATATAAACAGGACTCAAATCAAAAGTAAGACACGCACACAATCCACACTCGGGCCTCCTTTCTCTTATCTAGTCATGGTTTTGGAGCACTCTCTTTCCTATCTCTATAACAAATGGGAGCTGTAGAAAGTCCTACTCACTGGAGCCCATTTATCTATTTGACATGTATTTCCCAGTTTGTTTTCTGCAGCCTTGAGTTGGGCTTCACAGCTTTTAGTCATGTCAAACTGACTAGAGTCCCCTAGTCCCTTTACTGACATGCCGTCAACCACACTCATATCAAACACTTACTGTAGTAAATCCAGGAATAATGTCTGCTTTTCTCTGTGATTCGATGGTCCGTCTTTGATGTCCGACGCGGAAGCAGCCGGTAACGGTACACCACTTAGAATGCAATTTTTATTGCCATTTGCGCATTTGTCTGTGATAAACCGTTCGTCTGACAGATTTACAGAAGGCATGCTTTGAATGAGGATTGACTCAGCCTCAAGCAACCTGCTACTGCAGCAGGAATTCATCAAGACAGCTCAATTGTCCACCGTTTTTGGTGCTGATGTGCAAGTTAAAGCGGTATCAAGAATAGAGTTTTCCCAGATGTCCTGGGCCAACAATCTCACTCAGCTCCACCTCGCCAACCCCACTCCTCTCCCAAATAAAATCGGTTATTCACTTCGTTCCTTTGTGGGACGAAATATGCTGCTGCACTCACCTACAAATACACGATCACTGCATTTTGCAGCATATCCTGTGAGGTGCTTTGAGGCGTCCGTGTGATGAGAAAGGTGCTGTATCAACTGCAGAGATTATTATTAATTATTAAAAAGTGGTCAATCACTTCCTGGCTGTTTGTTGAGACATTGCTGTGCGCAAATTGGCTGGTGTGTTAATACAGTCACTACACTTTACAGAAAACTTGGAAGCAACAAAAACTTGCATTTATATAGGACCCCTCACGCAGAGTAGCGTCCCAGAGCGCTTGACAGTGGCAGAGCACGATGCCGACCCGGGGGAGGTGACCGTAGTCACGGTCGAAGAGGAAGGTCTTCAGGCGTGACCTGAAGATGTGGGAGGGGGCGAGGCGGAGGGATAGAGGAAGAGTGTTCCAGACTTTCGGGGCGCAGTGGCTGAAAGACATTTTGATGCGATAAGGCATCAAATACAAGGATTATTACACAGGATTACTATTTGCTAAGATTAACACTACTGCTCCAGTAACAGTAGGTGTCTCTGGCGGCCTGTGTGAAAAACAACTGTAGCATCTAGTGGTCAAACTCATACATTGCAAGTGCTTTTCTGGCTTTAATTGAGGCTGGATGAGCTGGATTACATCGGGTGCGAAGAGGTGTTGTATCCTTCCGTCCCACGTGGGCTTGTAAACACGAGAACACACACTTCTCTGAGGACTCAGGGAACCAATAATGTTGTCCCTCGGGGGCCATCAGTGTTCTTGCAGCTCTGCACAAACAGTGAAGGCTTCAATCACCACTTTGCATAACACGCGACAGGCATCATTATATCTCGTCGAAGTTCAGCAGGTCCAAAAATCAGCTGCTTACTATCGTCTCTTTCTTGCCTCGGAGCACAGAAATGAGAGGCTGCAAGGCCACAGAGGCCTCAGGAAGGTGTTTCCGAAATTCAGGTTTGTCCCAAATTTGCAGGCATTTCCCAGGCCAGGCGAGACGCCTGTAAGTGACAGCAAACGGACTCCACAGTCACCATAATTGGGACAAGCGTCAGGTTATCTTCACCGAGAGCTTCTCTCTTAATGCAGTTTTTTTTTAAAACCAAGTCTGAATGGGTAATATATTTCGTATTATAATTGGAAATATCATTAGTGGTCACTGTAGGCAGGTGACCTCTCGCGTAGCTTTCATTGCCAGTGAATTAATTTACTTGGCTGTCAGTTTGGAGACAAACACTTCCTTCCATTCCCTGGAACCTGGTTCAGTGATGACGGGGATGCAATTTACAGGGATGCAATTCCGCCTCCTCTCTTGCTCCTCCTCAAAACTGTTCGTGAGTGCCTTCTGGGTTGAACTCTTCCCGTCTACTCAATCTTCCCACTTTAATGAGAGGGCATTGCTCTCGGAATGCAAATTTGACTGCCTTCATTAGCGCGGAAGCCAATTCCTCACTCTTCCTGAGTTCTTCTACAACACATTGTCACATTATATAACCTGTCATTTTTTTCCAACTCTCTTCCCCCTCCCAGCGTCATACACACTTTCTCACCTCGCCTTAGATTCACCCTGCTTCACGTCACGCACCTTAACGCAAAGGTCAGGAAAACAACTCCCCGAGTCAACGTGCTGGCTGATGTGAGGATAATAATGACAATAATAATACTATTTGCCTTTTGATACAACGCCTTTCACTTCAGGAGGTTTCAAAGCATATAACGCGATAGACCGTAAAATGGAGTCACTGTATTTTGTAGGCAAACACAATAGCCAATTTTGTATACAGCACTGTCTCAAAAAGAGCCATTCAGCCAATGATCAATTTTATTTGAGGGGAGGATTGTTGGCCGGGACACCGGGATCTTTTACATCCAACTTGAATCGGTGGATGGAATCTCAGGTTAACGTCTCATCCGCAGGTCGGAACCTCTAACAATGCAGAGCTCTCTCACCCAGGAATGTCAGCTTAGACAAGGCAAGTTCCAGGTTCCCGGCATGAGGCTGTAACCCACAACCTTCTCAGTCGCGAGGCAGGCTGACACATCTTGCCGGGTGGGAAAACCACCGTCCCAAACCAATCTGCAACCTCCTACAAACTCCACAGCACAAGTCTATTAACCTCTGCCACAGCTTTGTCATTTGATCCCCAATGATGAATGGATGAGTTCAAAGCAAAAAGGTAACTATACATAACATGCTGGTCAGATTCAATTAAGATTGTTGTGATCCAAACCCAATCTCAACTGGAGCACAAACTCCTAATTGTTAAACTTTAAGGCACTATTGCGATTTAATGTTGCAACAACACACCCATGTGGGGGAGGGTGGGAGGGGGGGGATGGGGTCATAAATTCCAAATACGCAGACTTTATTTTTAAAGCCTTGCAGAAAAATATATAAAACATAACACACGTTATCCAGTAAAAAGCTGTTTAAAAAAACTATCTTTTAAAAAAACAGAAATTAAAATTGTTTACACAGTGAGTTCAATTTAACAAGTGCCTCGGGTTTCAAGTGGTGTCCACAACAGATCGTTCCTTTCCTTGCAAACAACCTGGGAGTTATTTACGGCGGATTTGTAAAACCGTCTGCACTATCAGGACTTGCAACGACCAGCAGGCAATTGCTCCGTGGAGACACCTCCAGGAAATTCTGCTGCGAGGTTATCTCTGGATGCTGGTGACGTGCCAGACTTTGATGAGGCAGCTCTGCTACAGCTGCTCTGTGTTGTGAGGCACTCGAATGCTCACTCGTGGAGTCTTCAAAGCGTTCTGAGAGCCTGGCTGACTGTAACTGATCTGCCAGCTCTTCTATCAGTTTACCTGGGGTGGATTGAGCCGAGCCTGTCTCTGTCAGCGTGCGTATACCTGCGTGCGATTCACCGTCCGCATGGCCAGCGTCTTTACTTCGCGTCGGATTATTCACTGCAGTTAGCTGCTCAGCTCCAGCTGCACGAGGCAGCCCTTTTAGGCAAACCTCCTCTGCACTTTGACAACTGTAGCTGTCCTCTTCAGCTGAATCGCTGGCTTCTGATTCACAGGATGAACTGCTCGCCTCCTCACTGCTGTCATCTCCTGTCTCGCTTGCTGATTGCAGCTCCAGAGGAACACTGTGACCTGCTCTCCTTGTGTCTCCTTCTTCCTCCTGGACTAAATACGCCGCTTTCTCCAATTCCTCCAGCTCCAAGTCCAAATCAGTCTTCGTGACTCTGGCGTTTTGCAACGATTCAGCCAAGTACGTGAGCTTCTCTGACCTATAAGGGTAAAAAAATACATTTGTTGACTGTCACGTTTATCAAGAATTGTGTAACGCTGTGTAAAGCTTCCTCGCAATATTCTGAACTGCTTAAATGCACGTCATGGCAAAATGATGTATGTGCGTTGCAAGACCTTCCTCTTTGACCGTACTGCCTTCCACCACACTCCCTCCCCCTCCTTCACCCCTTTTGATTCCAACCCACAGCTTGGGTGCAAACCCTTAACTGTGCAGCGCCTTGGGTCATCGTTCCGACGTGAAAGCCGCTATAGAAATGTAAATTGATGTTGTTGTACTGTGGTACTGTGCAGATTTGTAAGTGAAAATTAAACACAGTACAAAGTGTTTCTTGCTACGATCACTGATCTTTGGGAAGGTATCCAATGTTGCAAGATCAGAGTGATAAAGTATAACAATAATAATAATAATAATCCTTGCATTTGAAATAGCGCTTTTCACGTCTTCGAGACATCTCAAAGCGCTTCACAGACTACAACAACAACAATAAAATCACATTTGCACAGCGCTTTTCACGTTGGGAGGACCTCCCAAGGTGCTGGATTGAGACGAGTTATGGAAAGAATATACTGCAATGTGAATTGACTGTATATTTGTGGGTGAAACACAGCAGCCAATTGCGCACAGCAGCGTCCCAAAAACAGTTGCGGATTCAGTGACCAAATTATTATATTTTTTTTCTTGAGGGATTATTATCAGGCATGTGGAGTAAGGAAACTTGCTCTAACCACTGAGCTCCTGGACTCCGTGCAGGACTCCAAAGTATGCTTTTTTTGTAGAATCTCTATACAATAAGAATTATTATTATTAATAATATGTTTTCATGGACAATACTTCAGGTGACAGGATTGAATTTCTATCTTTGGAAGAACGTAAAATGATATTGAGTTATTTTAATAAAAAAAGAAAAGATTTGCGCTGTTCTACAAACAGAAAAAAAGGACTGTAAAAATAGTTACCACAAAACAAGAAAGTGCAACTGTGATGAGTCAATCGTGAAGACTGATCAGAATCAACACGAACCATCAGACAGACATCTACCAAATAGCCATATCCTGTAAATACCTCAATGTAAGGCTAAAAAAAATCCTTTGACGCATTTGGCTGGGTGAGGTGGGAAATGCATTTTTGTTCATTTAACCGCTGCAGACCTTCAACATCTGTGTGGTATTCTCTCTGCTACTCGTGTTCTATAACCACACACGCAAATTCTTGTCCTATCATTTGCTGGTGAAGTAGGACACCTCATTGTGGACATTCAATCAAACTGAGGGTACAATCCATTAATGATTCAAATCCACCCTGTAGACAACCTCCTTCACACGCCCCCACACACACACACACTACACACACATCACATGCACATTACACACACACACACTACACACACATCACATGCACATTACACACACACACACTACACACGCACACCTCCCTTCAAAATCAGATTAACATCTTCTAGGATTTAAGTGGTCGTCTCTTTTTTCGTGGTTTTTCTCTTTGACCGAGCCTTCAGCTCCCCTCTCGACTCTCTTCCCCCTCCTCGCTCCCTCCCTTCCCTCCCCTCACCCTGACCATTTCCCCCCTCCTCGCTCCCTCCCTTCCCTCCCCTCACCCTGACCATTTCCCCCCTCCTCGCTCCCTCCCTTCCCTCCCCTCACCCTGACCATTTCCCCCCTGCTCGGGTCTTGACCCAACTGTGCAGCGCCTTGGGACGTCCTCCTGACGTGAAAGGCGCTCTATAAATGAAATCTTGTTGTTGTTGTTGTTGTCGTCACTCTTATTTGTTTTGCCCACAAATTCTATAGTCAATTCATTTTACAGTATATTTGGTGAAGCGCTTTGAGACATCGCAGCGACGTGATAAGGCTCTATGTCAAATGCAAGGATTATTCTTGGTTTTTTCTGCCCTCACTTCTTTTCGAATGAAGGCTCCAGTCTTTAATCTTTCAAAGTTTCTTCCCAGAGGCTCGATAGCTAAGATGACATTCCTACAATAGAGCGAAAGCTAACTGCAGTCTGGACTAGAAAAGACATTAATAATTCACTCTATTGTAAATTCAGCAAAACCTCAGGCTAACTCGTGCCCCCACACTCCCACCCCCATCCCCATGGAGAACTCCATCCTGGAGTCTCTCCAACTCCCTCGCTCACCTCATTAGAGGTCCATCTTTTCCCCTTGCCCTGCTCCCACTCCGCCCCCTCCCTTGGCTCCCAAACCAACCCCCACCCCACAGATACCAAGCCAATATTGTCAAGGGCCTTGGGTATCATTCCGATGTGAAAGTTGCCGTACAAATGCAAACGTGTATTGTATTTTATTGTGTTGTATGTGAAGCTCTGTCAAACCTGCAAGGCTACAAAGTAACAGAAAATTTATTTTTCCAGAGGAGGAGGATATAGAGTAATTTTACACACCAAAAAAAGACTGAGACGTCGCCACAATTAGATTGATATAAATAGTTACTGCATCTGGTTTCTGGCTCCAGTCCGCCAGTTCATAGAATCAATCAACTTTTCACCACTTCCTCAACAGCTATCGCTAGTATAAACTGCACAGCAACTGTTTCATTTCCTCTGTTCGTGCCTTGTAATCTGCAAGGCACGAAACATTCGCGCACGACTGACAGTGTAATTCATTGCCATGGAAAATGAGCTGTGGATGTAAGAGGTGCCTTTCGCCCGCATTGAGATGCATCATAACTGCTCGTCTCTCAGCACTAAAAGGATTTTCTTGTTACCATTTCTCTCTCTCTCTCCTCCTCCCACCCCAACCGCGCTCGCTCGTCCAGGCTCCACTGACACCTGCCTCACCTATGCTTTATAGGTCACCTCTCCCACACCTTCCTCGCTCTCCGCCCCTCCCGGATGGTTCTCTCATCTCACGGCAGAGACGGTTTCCAGCTCCTTCCGAAGGGCTCTATTGAACCAGCCACTGAGTGCTAATCAATTCCAAACGCTCACAGCCCCTTCGAGTCAAGACATCTCTCCTGACCTCTCGCCTAATATTTCTGCTGACAATCTGGAGACATATTCCCCTTTCATCAGGGATTCCCCGCCAGCTGTGGGAGTCAGTCCCCGGCCAGGAAATCAGAGTCACTGGACAGAAAACAGGATCTTGCGTCTATTTTGCCCTCTCCAACCAGACACATGGAGGCCAACTGCAGTGGTTGCGAACTGAGTGGAGCAAAACTATACCATGACTGAACCTCAGTCAACAACAACTTGCGTTTATATAGCGCCCTTCATGAGGGCTAGCATCCCGGAGCGCTTCACGGTGGCAGAGTCAAACAACGAGCCAGGGGGAGAGGGAGGGGGGAGGTGACTGTAAGCACGATCAAAAAAGAAGGTCTTTAAGCGGGATTTGAAGGGGTGGGGCGGGAGGGGGCAAGGCAGAGGGATTGCGGGAGGGAGTTCCAGTCGTTACCAATACCTGATATTTGCCGTCTGCTGGGCTCTATGCCTGTAAAGCCAGCGGATAATAAAAGAATTGGTTGATTAAATTGCCGGCACTCCACGCTAGAAAGCCGTTCGATAAAACCCGCGAGCCCAAAGCCTCCTCCAAACACACAGTAATGATCAGCGAGAAGCTGGCTTCACCAGGAAAACTGCACAAAAGCAGGAAATGGCCTTCATCACCCAAATAACAAGGACAACAACTTGCATTTATATAGCAGATCGGTAAAGCAAAGGTCAGTTCGCACCACTTTTACAGTTCCCTTTGGGTAGCTGCGACGTCCAAATATAATTGGGCAAACAAATGATCTTTTCTCAGGCATCCGTCAATGCTTTTAAGAACCAATTATCAGAGAGGACTGCTCTCTGTCTTTAACAAAACTATTAAAAAATTCCCTCAGTAACGAGCCAAGTTCTGTCATGTAATATAAGCCTTGCATTTGTTATAGCGCCTTATCATGTCTTCGAGATGCCTCAAAGTGCTTCACAAAATATATTGTAAGTGAATTGATTCACTGTATATTTTGTTGGCGAAACGTAAGCCAGCAGCGAGATTGAAATACAGCCGCTGATAGAAACACAGATAAAATTATGAATTGTAGGCGGAAGGGGAGATTGAGGGAGGAGTTCACTCCACAGACTTTATCTTGGTTAACCGGGTGTCTGACATCTGTGGAAATTCACCATCACACTCAAAAGAATATGCAAACTAAACTGAGGAGTTCCCCCATGCGGACACCAACCACCACCTAGAAACTTTGTATCTGGAATGGAGTGCGCACTCTCTCCTCTGCTTACCTATTTCCCAAGCGTATTAGGCAAACGTTGGCGAGAGTGGCTTAACAACACGGTGAGAGAAAAGAATTCTCCCGACCGCCCCGTTTCCTAGCTATCCTAAACCTGATGCCCCTCTAGGTCCTGACTCTCCACCCAATGGAAATATATTCTATGCATTGACCCTATCAAAACCCTTCATAATGTTAACGACCTTCGTAAAACTCTGTAGAGAATCATAGTAGCTTTAGGACCGGAGCAGGTTTACTTACCCAGTTTAGATCATGCTAAATCCCCTACTTGAATAATAATAATAATAATCATTGCATTTGATATAGCACCTTCGTCTCAAAGCACTTCGCAGAATATACTGTAAAGTGAATTGATTGTATATTTTGTGGGGAAAACAATTTACTTTAATCTACTTCTCGTTGGATTAGACAAGTACGGTTCCAACCAATTCACACACTTTTTTTTGTTGACTGAAAATCCGATTTACGTCTGCGGAAGGTGAGGAGTTTGTCCTATTTAATTAAAAAAAAATTCTCTGCGCAAAAAGTCATTAATTTCATTTCAGCATCTTTCGTGGCTGAACAAACAGACGAGCTCGATCGAATTCAAACTCGCTGTAAAGACAGATGCTGCCTTTTAAAATGGAAATACATTGCACGCTGTGCCCAAATCACAATGTTGACCTGTTTAAGTGAGCACTATAATTTTGTTCGTCTCAGCACAGCTTGAAGAGTTTGA